CAGCGCCACTTACAGGCCTGGCATACATTTTGCAGCGTTTTCATGCATTCATGTGGTCGATCACATTTATTTTACGTCTCCGTCTTTAAGACAAACGTTCTGGAAAATATTAGCGTTTTGTGTTCGTTTTGACTTCGTGTGGACGGGGCCTAAGTCTTAATCTTAGTCTAAATGATGAAAATCAATTTTAGTTTTGGTCAAATTTTTGTCATTTTAGTCAACACTGTAAATAATACAACTTCTCCTCACACTAATTCTATTTTTAAATGTATCACGCTGGCTGTACAAACTGAACCTTTTGTTGGGTTGTTTAATCATTTCCACAAAGTCTTCATCCTCAATGGTCCTTGCAAGCAGGCCAGAATGCCCAATCCACTTTGCCATTGAGTTCCCCAGGGCTAACTGCTCTTTGGCATCAGGTTTGTAGGGTGGGGGTGCTCCCAACATCTCTGCAACAGACTTGTCCTGTCCTTCCACAACGTCTGATTTAGCGGTGGTGTCACTGTGTCAGGTATCTAGTTGGGAAGAAAAATGTAAACAATAAATATCCAGTGTATCAGTAGAACATCTTTCTCATATGACAGAGAGACAGACAGATATAGGCACAGAAAGGCACACATACACACACACACATCCACATGCATGCGCACCCGCATGCGCATACACACACACACACACACGTACACCTGTTCCTACTACCACAGGCCCACCCTTTCCTTACCTTCTTCCATATGGCAGCATGTGGGCACCTCAGATGTCGCTTGAGATTCGTTGTGTTCTTCTTTGGCAATTTGAAGCCGCAGACTCTTTGGTGGCGTCCTTCCTCCAGTGTTCTCCTTTGCATTGTGAACAAAATGGCTCCATACATCCAAGCGTTGTTTTCGTCCAGCTCCTCCAACAAACCGTACACCGGTATCCGAGCCCCAATGACTGCAAAGTTGAGTTAGGAGTATAAGCCCATTGCTACTACTGATACGCGGCGCGAGACCCTGTGTATTCTTTTATGAAGCTCAAGAAAAACTTATATCAAATTACAAATTGCTAATTAATTATAAACAATTACATCTCTTAATGTCTATTCATCCATGGCTAGTAAATTTCATTTGGTCTTAGTCTCTTTAACAAAAATCATATTTTTTTTCCGTCATATTTTTATTTTCTGGAAACAATTTTTGGGCACCATCGTCACACGAAAAAGGGGCGTTGACGAAATATTAATGAAATTAACACCGGTGACGACTATACATCTTCTGTAACAAACTAATATCAGTGCACCAACAAATACTTCCATAAAAGCAGATTTCAGCTCCTTTCTTTTTCCAAGAGTTCAGCACTGCAGTCTGCTGAAAAACATCTGGAAACCAAGCATCAGAACTATCTCTGAAAATAAAGGAACTGATACAATCATCATCAATCAGCCTCTGCTAGGATTCGGTGTTTAAACCATCTTTAACAGGTAACAAGCGTCCAAAAGCATTTCTTTCACATTAATATAACAACCAATATCTATACTTTCATGTTGTTTATACCAAACTTTGAACCCACCATGCTTTTCAAGTGTTAGATGGGCTAATCTTGATAGAGGGTTTGAAATGCATTTTTTGTTTCCTGCTCTTAGCTGACAGGAGTGGCTACCTGCAGGGTATTGTGCAAAGATTTATGCCAGTGGCATAAATAAGGAATGGCCTCCCATTTCACTGGAACCCTTCTTTACAAACAATACATCTATAATTCTTTACAACAATTTTCTCTGTGAGAAGAAAAATCCTGTTTGACATGAAATGTCTCCCCATTTCTTAAGAAAGAGTTTAAACTTCTATGAAAGTAGGAGGGCAGCAATAACAGAAATAAACTGCTTGTATGATGAAAAAGTGACGGTTGACGGTTAATGGTTAAATGACATCATGAAAATATATACATTGGTTCCTTGCTGTGTGGGAAACAAAAGGGGAAGACAAAAAAATATCACTTGATTAGTATTAACATTGTTCCACTGTCTTAAATTTCAATGTGCTTTGAAAGTAACTTTTATATTAACTAGGTGAAATTATATTCTAAGGAGTTACTGAGGTCAGTAACACAGTCCAAGTTCAGAAACCAGCAGAGTCCAGAAAAACAGTCCAAAAAAAAAAAACCTGACAGAGCAGGCAAGTGCAAAGCAAAAACTCGAATATGCATAAACAAAGAACAGGTCAGAATCAGAATCACATAAAAAGTCACTTGAATGCTAGAGTTACTCTCACAAACAGCTCGAATAATCTGGCACTGATGGTAGGCAGGCAAACAACATAAATAGCTGAGGGAAACAGGTGGAAACGATTGGCATTATTTAGACGCCAGGCCAATTAGACAGGTGAGCAAATGAACCTGCCAACCATCAGCGCCAAGACCATGACATATTGTTACCTACACCTATAGCTAAAACTCACACATGATCTGGATCATTACCAGATTTAATTGAATGATTAGTGTGGAGGTTCCTCCATCTTTTCCTCAGTGTTAGTATTTATTTATTTAAAGGTCTTCACACAGTACATTTATAATTTCACATTTGTGGTGTTTTTTTTGGCATTAGGTTGTTTACTATTATGGGTGCACACATTTAGTAAACACCTTTTGTTTATTTGAATTGAATTAACTACTTTTCTTTGCTGAGTTGAAGGACTGGCTGAGTGGAGAGGACTGGTTGGAAGGCAAACCAGAAGGGGGGCATACCATCAGGCTGCAGGAAGCAGGGGACTGGATGTTAGAGTCTGCTTCTCTCTCTCCACTTATGGCATAACTGTAAAAGCATTTTTGGTGTTATGTTAATTTCTTTTGATAGTTGTGTTGTAGTCAAAAGGTGTTAGTTTGTTAGTTATTTATGTTTATGCATTGTTTGTCTTTGTCTTATCTCCCAGAACTCCTCGTTTGTGTAGGCTAGCCTTTGTGTATAAATTCCCCTGTGTGTTCATTGTGTGAGGTCAGTTTTTTGGTTTGTTATCCTAAGTTAGGTATGCCTTAGTTGATTTCCTTTGGGCACATTTGTTTTTTTTAGATTTGATGTAAGTCCTTTTGTGAATAATTTTTTTGGAAAATAAATAGAAAATACTAGGTTCAACTCTAGAGAAAAATAAGCAACAAATAATCCATAAAATCTGTTAATAGGTTTTCAATTGATTCTTCTAACAAACCAACAATATTCCCTTTTCCTGTGTTTTTTTTCTTCAGTAATTCTTGTGGACTGTTTTGAGTCCGATGCTGCAGCTGTCAATAGTCACTGCTTCCACCTTCTGGTTTATGGGGGGGACTACTTGTTCCGCCAAATAATGTTAGAATCCTGAAAAAAATTCCTGCATCTGGATTATGATGTGGATCATCACACAAATTAAATGGATGTTCCTTAGACTGAGGAGCACCTTTGGTAAAAAAATTACATTAAAATCCATTCATAAGTTTCCAGTTATCCTGTACAAAAGCAAAAAATACAAACACACACAAACTCAACTTAAAACATAACTTCCTTGGTGGAGGTAATAAAGCATGTTTTATAAGATAAACACATAGAGTGAAACCCTATGAGTGCAGCAGAAATAGAAATTAGTTCAGCAAAAATAGAAACAAAACTGTTTTATTTATTAAAGGAATAGAAACAGCTCTTGAAATAGAAACATAATTGCTCTGTCACAGTTGCTCACCAGAAAGTGTCAACAAAAACTAAACAATGTCATCAATTGGCAGAAGAGGTTCTAAATAAACTAAGCAGTCTTATGAAAGGTGAAGGCTAGTAAGTTGTTATTTGGATAAATTATGAATTTAAGTTGAAATTTTTTTTTAGCAAGTTACCTCCATTATGTTTCACCGCCAGTTTACAGCTCCTCCTACAATAATCTGTAGGTTCTACTGAGAGAATCATGCTGTTTCAAAGCATTTTTGATTCATGTTTTATTATATACAGAGAAAAATAACAAGGTCTGGACTTTGGTTTCCTCAATGGCAGCAGTGGCCATGTGTACACGCCAAACGGCCCTTCCACAATGCCTGCTACTTTTCTCATATGTTAATCTAAGTTTCTGACAATAACATGGACCAGGCAGAGAAAGAGTTTAGTCGGGAAGAAATTGGGAAGGCCTTGAGCTCGATGTCTGAGAGCTTCTCAGCACCACAGGACATCCCTGCTTCAATCCGCTCTATCATTCACCTGCATTTGGACGGCCAGTTCCTCAAGCCCAGGTAGAGCTTTCACAATAGTTGGGTATGCTATCCAACCATACTATAAACTGTGCTATGTACTGGGTATTAAGATTATATGTTATTCTGTTTGAACAGTTTGATAACAACCTGCTCTAATGCTCTATTCTTCTGTAACTAATCAAGTATTCATGGTCAAAGAGTAACTGCTCTTCTTCATAGAAGACTTTCCCCTAATGCTTTATGTTTTATCTAACTGAGTAATGAACTAATACCATCCCCTATCCATTACAGCCCTTTTCTCCAGATTTGTAATGCATGTTTATAGAATGCTTTCTTATAACTACTGTGAGTTACCAGCTGTTGATGTCCTTTATAATATAAAGGATATATAAAATAAGTTTTACAAGTCAGTGATATAAAGTTTATATCACTGACTTGTAAAACTTATTTTCCTCTCGATTGCTTTTTACAGGCTCTGCAGTTGCAAAAAACATCTGATAATATAAGAAATTCTTGAGAAATTCTCTGAATATGCATTTATGCACATAACAGCTGTGTTTCCACACAAAGCTCCACCCATTGTCACCTCCCAGTCCCCTTCCAGAGCACCTAGAATATAAATATGCTTGAAAGCCACTTCAATTTCAGTTTTGGTGAAAAGCTGCAAACAGAAGTTGAACAATGGCGCCTGGAGGATGGTCAGAAACCAGGCCCGTAAATGGAGATGTTTCCATGCTTTGTAAATGGGTGAGATTTTGTTTTTCTCTACAATTGTTGCCCTCTAAACTTTCTGCTCTAACACCTCTTTTTATTTGATTCTCACACAGATGCAGAATATCTCAGAGGGAAAAACAAATAAGAGTTATGGGGAGTTTGTTGCAGTTTTATACCGGCATCAGATTGTGGCAGGGGAAAACGACCTCGTCAAGGTAATAAAGGATGATTGTTCATACCATACCCCTCAAAAGATTTATTTAGCAACAATAGATGTTTCTGGGCAAATATAATCTGAAAATTCTAACTTTCATAGCTTGACAGTTAATCAATACATGTCAACTATTTTATGTATCATAATTACTGAGCAGGAAATTTCATTAAAAAGAAAGAACAGGATAATTCAAGTTTTCTAATGACACTACCATCTGTGGCCAAAACACACTACAGCAGTACTCATTCTTTCATTCTCGTACTAACAGTTTTTTACATTACGTAGTTTGTTTTAAATTTTTTTATAATATTTTTAGGCAGTAGTTGCCTTTATTTTTGTAAGGTGTAGTTGGTATGGCTTATAGATGCATTGGCACTGATGTTTTAGTTGTAAAGGATCAAAGAAAAAGGCAATTTTAAAGATATCTTTTAGCAAAAAATTCCTTTAAAGAGCACCTTAATCCACTGAACTGAATATAAATTAAACTATGCCAGGACCAAAATGCAAACAGATGACTAAAACTGATGAACACTGGTTTTATGAATAAATGCAAAGTTCCTGATTTAAACTTGTAAAAATGAACTTATAAAAAGTGAAAAAAATACATTTGTAGTCCTTTCAGAGGATCATTTCTATTCTCTTCTCTCTACAGGTTTGGGTTGGAGGAAACGAGTACGTTCATCTGATGATCTTCCAAAGTCCTCTGCTAGAGAACACATTTACGATCAAGTTTTTGGGAGTGGAGGGTGACCACAAATTGGAAGATCCTCTTGAACCCTTTATTAACCCCTCTGTTTAAAGTGAAAGCCTTGTTCTGCCTCTTCCAAGTGTCTGCTTGAAAGGGAAAATGTGTTTGTGTTCTTCTTATGAGCAAGCTTATCACAAAAATGTTCAACTACAAGGGTTAAGTCAAATCTCTGTAAGACTTGAGAATCATCAATAAACATGAATCAATTATTTTATTTGTCTTATGTTTGAGAAAAAAAGTGTCTGCCACCTAAATGTTCAATGACAATTTTTAAAAGCTAAATACGAAAATACTATGCACCTTAAGGTATTTCCACGTTACCCTGGAGCATTAAAACAAAACATGTTTTAAACTAAAATAAATAAAACAAAAAGGAATACTCATGTAAGAGACACATATAGTCTGATTTATCTGAATAAGTCCAATTTATTGAGTTTTCACAGTGATGTGGAATGGATTTTGCTTTAGATCTATTAGATAATGAAGTACAAAAAAGATTCTGGTACAAGCAATCCTAAAACATTAGCAACAGTCATCTGATTATACCATGGGAGACCATAAAAAAGGTGTATTAATAGTGAAAACATGTGAAACATGTCCAACTTGGATAATAATGATTTTAGGATGCTTTTGTAACAGAATGATTAAATAAAATTGGAATTCCTGAAGATGCACAACATAAAGGGAACCTTTATATGTAACAGAAACATGTTTTTTTATTATCTATATTAATAGTAGTTTTGCAATCTGAAAGTTAGGTTTTAGATTTCAGTTTCCATCTGTCTGATATCCATGTGCTACTGAGCAATGCACATGGACATGACACAGAAGGAAGCACTTTAGCAGATGCAAGAAGGTTAATGTGGCTGTAGTGTAAAGCAGGGGTTCCCAAAATGGGGGTTAGTGTTTTCACAATCAATGTGATATGATACCTGAGGTATATGGAGGGCAAAAAATATCTACAAGAAACATAAATATCAAATCCCTCTGAAATAATTAGATGTAACATTTATTTATTTATATAATAGATTACATTGTTTTTTCTTCTATGTTTGCTAAAATCCAAATTTGGCCGTGGCAGATGGCCACTCAAGCTAAGCCTCTTTCTGTTGGAGGTTACTTCCTGTTTAAGGAGAGTTTTCTTCTTAACTATAACTATATGCATGACTGGTATAAAGAATTGCTGCAAAGTCAATAACACAATACAAGTGACAGTCCACTGCTGCTTCATACTCTTCCAGGAAGAATCAATTCTACAGGTTGATGACTTAATGCAAACATCTGGGTTTCATGAGAATCATTTGAATTAGTCAATCTGCACAATTTGACTGGATTCAATTTTGTAAAGTGCCTTGAGTTGACACGTGTCATGACTTCGCATTATCTTGATAAAATGACCTGAAATTTATTTAAAGTTTAGACTCAAATTAAAACTGACTCCCCGCAGCATCCCCTGCATTCAATTAACTCATCATTCAACTCTGCTCCAGCCAATCACTGTCTAGTCCTGATTCATGTTCAGCCAACCATCCTGTAAGGCCTGTAAGCTCTGTGTCCACAGGCTCTCCTGGTCTTTATATGGGCATCAAAGCACCTCCATCTCATCTCCTAAATCGTTCTCAAATTTCTTCTGGCTTCCTTCCCCTCTATCCTACACTCCACCTTCAGTGTGTAGACCTCACAATGGTCATCCAAGCTCATTACCATTCGCAGCTTCTATGTTTTCTGCCAGTCAGATTGCCGAAGGACTCTATGATTCATCAACAAATCTAATTGACAATTCTATTGTGTCTTTGAGTCTCTCCAGGTTTAATTAATGTTTTATTGTATGTAATTTTTCAAATGTCACATGAAATAAATTAGCCTCCATGCTATTCATACCCCTTGAAAACTTTATGGTCACTTAAAACAATAATCAATAAAAAAAAAATTAAGCTTAGGCGGAAGTTCAACTAAATAAACGGATTACTTGCCTTCATCCACCTCCAGCACCAGCCAATCCGCTTTGAATTACACCTCCACAAAAGCCCAATCAGCATCCAGAGTTCATCTTAAAAGGTTTCCAATCCACAACTCCGTGTGCTACATAAAGCGCAGGCAATGGTTACACTATGTCTGACTTCAATTCAGATGACCCTGTTATGACCTACTTTCAGCCCCTTTGTCACAATCGGGCGACAGTGGTGTCAGGTGTAGTAGTTTACCCTGAAATCGAAGTATTGGCGGTTCAAGCCCCGGCTCTGGCTTTCGGTGTTGTTGTATGGGCAAAAAACATTCACCTGCATTGTCTACTGTTGGTCAGAGGGCCCGTTAGCGCAGTGTACTGTAACCTGTATGGCAGCCTTGCTTCTGTCAGAAAGCAGCTATGGCTACTACGTAGCTTGCCGCCATCATGTGTGTGTCAATGGGTAAATGACTGAATGTAGTGTAAAGCGCTTTGGTCAAGTCTCCTGACTTCAAAAAGCGCTATATAAGTACAGGCCATTTACCAATCGTAGCTATATCAGAGTGTCATTCCTCCCAGACTCTTACTGCGTTCCCATGTCTCATTTCAAATGGTCTGGCAGAACCTGCCAGAGGTTTCTACCCAATAGGGAGATTTTCCTTTCCACTGTCGCTTCATGCTTGCTCATCATGGACAGGATCATGCCTGTGTTATCCAAGCTGGACTTCGATCTTCCAGATCCCTGAGTGAAGCACTAGTATCAGCTCACGCAGTCCACTGGATCTCCCCACACAAATCAAGCATACCGTCTTGCCAACCAGCAGTCTATGGACTGACCAACCTCTTCTATCTCCACTCCAACACCAGTTTCAGGCCTGAAGGAAACATCCCTGTTCCTTACTGCTGTTCATGAAAAACAAACAAAATTCAGTGCATTGTATCCTGCCGAGATCTTAGCACTAAAGACTAAAGTAATTGTATGCATAAAATTCTTCTAATTGCCTTTTTCTTTTTGTGTCTGTTTTTCAGATTTAATATAAAATATTATTGTATTAATTACTTGATGGTTTGAGTATACAAGAAAAGATGGTTTGTGATTGTACTACAAAAAAACATTTATTTGCCACAAGGGGGCAGCACTTTCCTTTCTCTCCTACAAGAATTTTCTAGCAGGGATCTGTAACCTGAGGCTCTGGAGCCACACGTGGATCTTTGGACCCACCACAGTGGCTCTTAATAGTGCCTAAAAATGATAGAAAGAATCAATATACTTTTAGAATGGATACTAGTCTTAGAAGTGTTAGTGTTTTTATGAGGAATAATCGAACTGACTTTTCACAAAGGACTGACAAAAAAACAACAACATAAAAATACATTTAAAATAAAATTTTCTATGAATTAGCTTTGAAGAAGATGCCCTATGGCAGATATTTAACAAATATAATAGGTTACATTTTATTAAAAAGTCATTCCAAAAAAGTAAAACAATTCACTGGACTTTTTTTTTGCAAGTTTGCTTCCCATTTATGAAGCTTTTTCAACTCAAATTGTCATTTGAATTGAAAAAGCTTCCTGGATGGAAAGCGAAATGTCTTCAAAGTTGGAAACAAGGTCGATTGTGTAATTTTTTTGGAATGACTATGACCTGGATGACTGGGAATCTTTATCAGTATATTAAAAAGTCATGTATATTTTTGCAGCTCTAATTGAAATTGATTCAGCTAGACTCAGGGCAAAATAAGTTTGGATATGAAAGGTTGCAGGTCCCTGTTCTTTGAGGTCAGGTATAACAGTTTGCCTCTTTGCAAATCAGAAAATACAAAAGATAAAAAACAGTAAGTAAAACTTCAGGGAAAAAAGTATGTAGTATCTCACCTGATCAATTCAATTCAGTTTATTTATATAGCACCAATTCACAACACGTGTAATCTCAAAGCACTTTACAATTCAAGCAGATCATACAGTCAAATTGATTCAAAGTTTTCTATCTAAGGAAAACCAGTTGATTGCATCAATTCATTGACTCGAAGGCAATCCCTCAAGAAACCTCCAGCAAAACCTGGCTCAGTGTGAGTGGGCATCTGCTGAGGACGACTGGGGTTCAAGGAGACAGAGGCAGAGATACAGAAAGAAGCAGGGACACAAAAGGCAACTGTCAACCAGCTCCTAGGTGGCGCCATCCAGGAAACGCAAAGCCAGGCGGACAAGCCTGCATATCAGAGGATGAAGACAGCACATCCAGCCAGTCACAGTGAGAGAAACAGGACCACACTGGAAAACAGGCCGAGCTTGAACAGCTATAAACAAAGGTGTTGATGGCAGCAGCACAGCTAATATATTTCTCTCCAGGATTGTGTCACAGCCAAACGGCACCAGAACAGATGAAGGTACTATGAGAAAAACCAGAGAGCACAGGGTTAGAGATTGAACTAACAAATTATCCAGAGTGGGAAAGTAGATATACACTCACCGGCCACTTTATCAGGTACCTCATGCTAGTAACGGGTTGGACCCCCTTTTGCCTTCAGAACTGCCTCAATTCTTCGTGGCATAGATTCAACAAGGTGCTGGAAGCATTCCTCAGGGAGTTTGGTCCATATTGACATGATGGCATCACACAGTTGCTGCAGATTTGTCGGCTGCACATCCATGATGCGAATCTCCCGTTCCACCACATCCCAAAGATGCTCTATTGGATTGAGATCTGGTGACTGTGGAGGCCATTTGAGTACAGTGAACTCATTGTCATGTTCAAGAAACCAGTCTGAGATGATTCCAGCTTTATGACATGGCGCATTATCCTGCTGAAAGTAGCCATCAGAAGTTGGCTACATTGTGGTCATAAAGGGATGGACATGGTCAGCAACAATACTCAGGTAGGCTGTGGCGTTGCAACGATGCTCAATTGGTACCAAGGGGCCCAAAGAGTGCCAAGAAAATATTCCCCACACCATGACACCACCACCACCAGCCTGAACTGTTGATACAAGGCAGGATGGATCCATGCTTTCATGTTGTAGACGCCAAATTCTGAGCCTACCATCCGAATGTCGCAGCAGAAATCGAGACTCATCAGACCAGACAACGTTTTTCCAATCTTCTATTGTCCAATTTCGATGAGCTTGTGCAAATTGTAGCCTCAGTTTCCTGTTCTTAGCTGAAAGGAGTGGCACCCAGTGTGGTGTTCTGCTGCTGTAGCCCATCTGCCTCAAAGTTCGACGTACTGTGCGTTCAGAGATGCTCTTCTGCCCACCTTGGTTGTAACGGGTGGTTATTTGAGTCACTGTTGCC